TTTTTTTTTTTTTTTTTTGTATATAGAAATTTGTCGTGTCGAAATGATCAGAATTATATGGTTATGGCCTGGAAGAATTGCTGTGTAAAAGGCTCTTAAACTATACTATGCTTACTGTTAAGTTTTTGTTACACATCACCCTCATGGGAAGGAGGGGAACTCTGTATTCTGCTACTGGAGAATACTGTTCATTCCTAGGCTAAAAATACTTCTTGGCGCTCCCTTTTTAGTCTGAACTCTTAAGCCATTGCAACTTCTTTTTCTTCAGAGATGTTGTTTGATATGTTTAGCACTTCCTGTTCTCTAAACCCAAAGAATATAATCCTGAACATGAAGTGTTTCTAAAAGGGATCCTATCTATCAAACAGGACTTGTGGGGACAAAAACAATTTTTTAGCCTTCCTCCCTCCATACACAACCTCAGATGGGGAGGGGCATGCATGATTTTCAATTAAATGCCTCGTTTTATTTTTTGATTGTCCTTTAATAGAGGTTTTAAAAAATGAATGTGGAGCAGTATCTCTGAAGTATCATATTCCTGTCCAAACTTTCAACTTGGGTAATGGAATCTGGACAGCTGTGGGGATATTGAAACACTCCCACCTGCAATTCTTAAATTCAGAATCTCCTCCCCTCTCTTGTTGCCAGTGCAACTGTTCCAGTAGCTAACATTTACCTGTACAAGGGCAGGTGGGATGGTGGCTTCAGTTTTTCAGGTCCCCAATGACGTACTTGCCTACAAATGGTTTGACTGTATTGAAATTAAGTGCATTTGGCCAATAGATAGTATCTATACAATAACAGTGTACGAATTCCCATGACTTATCTTAAAAAGGAATCAAGTCTTCCACTGCAGATAAATTGGAGGCTTCACCCACCCATGTTTTTTTCCCCCCTTTAGTTTGTCTGTTCGTTCGCTGTCTGGATGGCTAATGCGCCTGTCTTTTCTGTGGCCAATCTGAAGGCCTTCGTGGGAAGTGTTGTTTACAGTAATCCTTACCAAGATAACATACTGTCCTCTGGAATACCAAGTTGTGGTGACCCTGGCTTAGAGCTGTTGTTCTACAAAGTTACTAAGAAGCTTCAGTGCATAGGTTTCCTGTACCACCTCACCTTTAAATTATTCTGGACCAGGAGTGGGGTCCATTCTGTAGTCAGTGAATGCTGAACTTGATACCTGTGCATCATCTGGTTCTGTGAATGCTGCCCTCTTGGCTAGGTTTCTCCCTCTTCAGCCTGCACTGCTCAACAGCAAACCCAGTTAGTGTCAACAGAAAGGAGGTTTCAATAGAGTCCTGTCAGTATTTGGGGTCGCCTTCGGATAAGACAGAGTCCTCATTTCTAGCCAGTAGGGTCTGGGCTGCAGAGCCACCTTGAGATTTGTCCCCGTCGATATTTTAACATCAGACTATGCCCATCAAACTTTCAATCGTATGCCTCCCACAGGCCAAGGGAAAATAGACACCAAAACTTGGGTTGAGGGCACTACCAGACTGGCCTAGCCAGTATGGAGGAGAACTAGGGAAGGAATGATGTTTTGCACCTTATTGAAAAGGAAAATTTAAGTGCATACATAGTTAAGAGCTTTTATTGTGACAGGAGAACTTTTTTCCATATGCGTGCATACTCTCTGTAATTCCAGTGTAAAATATTGTACTTGCACTAGCTTTTTTAAAACAAATATTAAAAAATGGAAGAATTCATATTCTATTTTCTAATCGTGGTGTGTCTATTTGTAGGATACACTCGAGTCTGTTTATTGAATTTTATGGTCCCTTTCTTTGATGGTGCTTGCAGGTTTTCTAGGTAGAAATTATTTCATTATTATAATAAAACAATGTTTGATTCAAAATTTGAACAAAATTGTTTTAAATAAATTGTCTGTATACCAGTACAAGTTTATTGTTTCAGTATACTCGTACTAATAAAATAACAGTGCCAATTCCAAATGCGTGGCTTTGCCTTTTGTTGGATCTTCAAAGAAAAGACAAGGTGTTGACGGCCCCTCCTCACCTGTGCTGGGAACCCATGAATTCTCTTTGAGGACAGAGTGGCAAGAGCCACCCGATTCCCTACTGATTTGTTGGGCACGGAGCTGTGCTAAAGAGGTTCTATACTAAAAGGCAAATGTCCTTGTGTCCACTGTCTTGTTCAGCTCAGACTTGTGTCAATACTGATGTTTATAAATGGTTTTTCTTTTAAACATTTGGCAGCTCCACGGACTCACATGATGTGATCAGTGTTATTTCCTAGTTTGGTTGTAAACTGGGTCTGAGGAGGGAAGGCTGAGTCAGGAGCATCCCCTGTGTTTGTTGGGCAATGTGCCACAGGTTTGCAGGGGGCTCAGCAGGTGCCCTGAAAGTCACTTCTCAAGGACCCCTGCCACCAGCCCCGTGACCTGGGTACCATTTGTCTTGCAGTGGGCAACATTTTCAGTGTTCTGAGGCCTGCCGCGTCGCAGCACACAGCTAGGGGTGCTCCTGAGGGATGCAGCCCCTGGAGGTGTCCCTGCCCTTGGACTCCAGACTGCACAGGTGGCCATCCAGTTATGAGCCTGAGGTTAACAGGTGGAAGCCAACTTCAAGGTTCAAGTCAGAGACCTCACCTCATCACCGGCAGGAATGGGGACTCTGTCCCTTCCACCACCACCTGGGTGAGCTGCTGTGGGGACATGCAGCCAGACATCTGCTTGTCTTAGGGTGTGAATGGGTGGTGACTGGGTGAGCCACAGAGACCAGACTAGATGGAGCACCCTGTGTCTTCCTCCAGGGCCGCAGGCTACTGTGGACCGTGCTGTGGGCAAGCCTGCTAAAGCTGTCCTCATCGGCCTCCCCCGTCTGGCTTTCTTTAGGTGCCAATGGACTGGCTGAGTCTGGAGTTTCATGGTGTGACGCCTCCAGGCCTAGCACTGTATTAGGACCAAGGACTAGCTGTGTGCTGCCATGGGGCAGGTAAATGGCACCAAACTTGCCCACCCCCCTGCAGGCACAGAGCCCAGTGGTAAGCAGTGGGGCTGCACGTCTGACCAGTGCCCACATCCTACCTGCTACCGGGTGTGAGCAACACCGCACTAATCCCCTGACCACTGCGAGCGGATGGACTTGCCGAGCCGAGGGGAATGAGACAGTTCTTAGGAAGCCTCTGCTCCGAAATGATCCTCGTATGTTTTGGTTTCACAATAACTCTCACCTTTACTTCCCTAGAAAGTAGACTGCAAGGGACCTACCAGCTTCTGGTTGTGAAAACAGAGAGCTAGTCTTCAGCATCTTTACCAGAACGGGTGAGGCAGCCAGGTGCCGTCCTCCCGGGCCATGCGGTGCAGCACAGGAGCCAGATCTGAGAGGAGGGACGCTGGTGACACCGCACTACAAGAGCGGGAGCCTGGAGCTGGACCTGGTCCTCCAAGACCTTCGCTCACTATCGCAGGTCCTTTTCAAAGCATTTAAGATTTACTTTGCTTTGTGTCTATTTTCCAAATATTTCATAAACACCATCCATCAAGAGAGCCTCACCCAGACAGGCAGAGAGAAGACAGCCCCCGGGCAAGACCCCCATCTTGCTCTACATCCTGCTCTGTCCTGACCACACTCTGATCTCTGCAGTGCAGCCTTTCCTGTTTCTATGGCTACGAAAGCAATTCTTTTAAGAGTGGGGGCGGTGGATTAGTGCTAAAAGCTGCTGGACCTTTAAATGTTTTCCTTAAAAGACTAAAAATGGGCTTGCACCTCCCCACTGTGATGCTGTGGCTGGATCCTTCCGGTTCCACAGGATGTCAGGTAATGGACGCCTTCCTCAGTAGCATGGTGTGTGCTCTTTCTCTACTCTAGGCCCCTGCTTGCCTTTCAGAGAAAATCTCCCGTACTTGCTTCGTTCACCTTAACAAGAAAAGCAAAATATTCTGGCGCGCATGAACTTTAAAGTCCTCACACTCGAGTGGTACCTCAACTCGAGTGGCCACTGTGGGTCCCTTCTGCAAGACAAAGCCAGCGTCACCCGCAACGTGCTCCTTCCTCCGACGCATGAATCCCAATAAGGGAAAGGTTGTAACTCACGTTTTAAACTAACGCATTTTAGGGGCCAACTAGCAAAGCCTCTGTCTTTCAGCAGGATTCCACCTGTCATTCTTCACGCATGATCTTTGAATACACACCTCGTGGGATTTGAAGATAATTGACAACTTCTGAGAGGGGCCAGCCTGACAAGCTGGAACTGAGAAGAGAAGGAATCAAAGGATGGAAGAAAACAAAACGAAATCCCAGGACAGGGCCAGCTCCCTAGAAACAGCTTTTGCTCTTTTCCAGCAACCACCGGAGGGAGAGGATGCCAGCTGCTGTGACTCAGCCCAGCCCTTCTCAAGGTTTCCTATGCTGGCAACCAAGAGCACCACTTACCTGGGCAGGGAAGGCAGCAGCACTATCACTAAGGACCCCATGCAAGTTGACTTAAATGCAAACTCCAGCACCCAATGAAATTTCAAGATAATAGCATTATATTAAAGTAAAACCATTTTCTTTAAAAAAAAAAGGGGGGGGTGCATGTCAACAATGAGACTGAGTCCTGGGCCCCTGACCCAATCAGGGCCCTGCTTTGGGGCCTCAAGAAGGCACTAGGGAGCCCCAAAGCCTCCAGGCAGTGGAAGGGGAGAAAAGATGCAGCATTCCACCATTCGGGAGCAGGCAGCAGCTCTGGCACGATGGACCGGAGGGAGGTGGGCAAAGCAGGTGTGCGAGATGGCGATGGCAGCTCCAGCTTCATCCCATGGTTAACTGAACACAGAGTTGTGCTGCTGGGTCACCCGGATGAACGTTGCTCTCCTGCTGAGCTCCTTGAGCTTGGCAGCCCCCACATAGGTGCAGGTAGACCTCAGTCCCCCAAGAATGTCCAGAATTGTGTGGTCCACATCCCCTTTGTAAGGCACTTCCACAGTCTTGCCCTCCGAGGCTCTGGAAGAGGGAAACTTTCTTTGTATCCGGCTGCTCTCTCCCTGAGCACCAGCTAGAACAAGTCCCAGCTGTCATGGTTAGCAGCCCCAGGTACTCAGCCAGATGCGCCCTCAGCCCCACTCCATTCCCACTGTGTGCCCAGCCTTCTGCCCCTGTATACACCAGCCTGCAAACAACCGACCACAGGGAGACAGACTTGGTGGTTCCAGCCATGCCTGCCCTTCTGCACCAGAGATGGAAAGAGCTCAGAGCTCTGCCTCCCCAAGGGCCAGCTCTACCACGGGACCCTGAGTGTCATCAAAGGGGCCACTCTGCCAGCCTAGGTTACCGGGAAACACCTCCCCAGACACGCACACTGAGGGCCTGCTCCTCAGGGCACCCTTTGTTGGGCACCCCAGCTGCCAGCTCACCCCTCCTGCTCTCCTCACTCAGGTTAGCACACCTGTCACCTGGGGCGTGGAGGAGACCTGGAGCAGAAGCAAGAACTGTCTGAGGACAGAGACCACAGGGCTTTTACATCCTTTACATCTTCAGAGCAGGTGTGGCATAGAGCACAGCCACTAAGCAACCTGTCTCCCCTGAGTGCTGTCCCTGTCTTCACAAGTCCTCCAAGTTGCACTGCCTTGTTCCATAAATCAGGTCGTCATGAGGTAACAAGGTAACACAGTCCACGCTTGCTTTTGCAGAGGTTGATGAGGGGACAGCTGACATCCACATAAGCCCTCGTCTAAGGGCAGAGCATAAGTGACCACATTCTGGAACTTTCTGTGGCTGCTCTCATCAACCTGAAAAACTGCTACTCTTGATCAGCAACTTCAGTACCTAGGATTTCAAAAGGATGTTAACTTTTGTTCACTAAACACATGCGACTCCCCTTTGGATGAAATCCAGCAACTCGAGCCATCAACTGTACAAAGGGCCAGCCCCGTGCCTGGTGGAAGCCAGAGTACCACACCCCAAAGGCGCAGGTCCTAGCACAGGACCTGTGCCAGCAGTGACTATTTCACTGCTCAGACATCTCCATGGCCTTCCCACGGGAATTACCCAGATTCTCACTGTTGCCGCTTTGCTGACTGCTGATGTCGCCTCTCCCAAGTCACACTGAAGGCTGCTCATCTGTGAATGGAGGCACTTGGACCTGCCTCCCAGGACCAGGTGAGAAATGATGAGAGGGAACGAACTAGCAACGGCATTAAACCCAACGTCAAAGTAGGGAATCATTCTCATGACAAGATCATAGGCACAAGGCTGTAGTTGCCAAAAGAACAGACAGAACCGACACAGATTGTAAGACTCAGGCTACCTGTTCTAATTCCTTCAGCACTTGACTTCCATTTCATGAATCTTATTTGTGACAGAGACTCCTCAACTCCCAGAACATGGATTTTCTTTCAATACTTCGGCATGTGTGTGTGCCAGAGCCTCATCTGGCCACAACTTTTCTGAGGACCCCAAATGATAGCTACAGGGCAGAAAAATGTCCTCCAAGCAAAACCTCTAGCAGTGGCTCAGCCACGCAAGCCCACTCCATTTCAACACGGAGTAGATACCACCCGAGCCACGGGACAGTAGCAATAGTTGGTGGCCCAACGTCTTGGCCATGGGTCAGGGTGGCGCTGAGGCAGTCACCCCCCGCCCACCCCATCGGTTATGAAGCGAAAGGGCCTCATGAGCCTTGCATAACGTGACCAAGTCCCAGGCCCTCAACATGAGCGTGTGGCTCTGGGACAAGTGCTAGGAAGCTCAGCATCAGCCAGTTCAGGCTTGGAGTCCACCCTACAATGGAGGTGGTGCCTGAAAACAGGCAAGAAGCCGCGCTACCTACAGAAAGGCAGCCAGAGCCAGTGCCTGACCACCACCTCTGCCCAGCCCCCTTTGTGCAGCTTAGGAGCAGCAGCTGTGGCTGTTACAGGAAGCAAGGACCAACTCTGAGGGGTGGGGCAAGAGCGAGTCACTGCTATCCATTAAAGCACAAGTGCAGACTCTGGACACAGAGAGGAAACAGGAAAGGTTAAAGCGTCAGCAGAAGCAAGCCACGCTGCTGCAGTGCAGAGTGACAGTTAAAAGAGCTGGAAATAATTGCCTCTTACTTGCCAGCACGCAGAGGCAAGTGAGAGGTCTGAATAAGCCGGTACGGCACGTAGCAGCCTGCGGGAAGGGCCCAGGCACCACACAGGTCTATGGCACCCACAACCTGCGCTTCAACCTGACTCCTACAGCCTGAAGGCTTCTCAGGCCTGAGACGGGAGGTTGTGGGGACAGCTCAGCCAAAGCCCTACAGAGCAAGGCGACACTCCCCGAGCCCGGCATGTCCGGGATCCCCTCCATAACCACTGCTTAGGCCCGGCCTTACCTGTACTCAGCCACTCCTCCTGCGTGTTTCTTCATGGCTGTTTCTGAGCTCATCCCATAGAAGAGCTTGAGTTTCTGTCCGTTCCTCTCGATCACTTCCCCTGCACACTCGGTGTGGCCCGAGAACATCCCTCCCAGCATCACAAAGTCAGCTCCGGCTCCTGCACACCAGCGAGGGGACAGGGCAACAATGGAGGAAAGGTCAGGGAAGATAGGTTCTAGAAAGGTGTGAGTCTTCCCTGACTCCCCCTTTCCCTCTAGGGAGAAGGCCCAGGCCACAGGTCACAGCCAATGAGAGATGCAGAGCTCTCACCGACCACCACCAACTGCTTAGAGATGCGATGTCTTCCTGCCAGAGGTCTCTTAGGTTCGGGTAAACATTAAGAAGCATGCATCATCAGCCAGGAGCTGATCTTTGCACTTTGGGAGCCTGAGGTAGGAGGCTCTGAATTTCAGGTCCTGCCTTGCCAACACAGCGAGACCCTAATGGCTGGGGGTGCCACCTAGTGCGAAGGCCCTGAGTTCAAGCCCCAGTAGCACCACATCTGCCAGCACCTTAGCACACTGTCTATTTGTGCCCTAACACAGTAACTCCCATGGCGTCCCCCCCTCAGACACTGAGTCTCTCTCTCTCTCAATTGCTCCTCACTGGTGCTGTATAGAGATCAGGAAGAGCACAGAGCATACTCCTCCTCTGTATTCTAGCCTGAGTGTTGAAGAAACCCCTCCATAAAGCATGGAGAAAACTCCCTGTATCGCCACCTAGGATATGAGACTTACAGAGCAAATAACACGCCATGACGTTTCCTAGACCCCCCCGAGACTAGCTACACTGGCACGGGACCAGGCCTGGGTCTGTGTGTCCACCCCCCGCCACCGAAGCAGGAAAGGCACACATTCCTCACCCTGTTCTGGGATAGCCCTGCCGAGTGGCTCTTCGTCAAACATTAAGTGCTGCAGTTTGAATGTGTCCCCCAGACTTCAGGTTGGAAATGTAATCCCCCCTTCTATACAGAGCTGGTAAGTGGAGGGTAGGACCTTTGGGAGGTCACCAGGAGTTAGTGAGGTCATGAGGTTGAGACACCCTGACAGCATCAGCAGCCTCACACAAGAGACCTGAGCTAGCACGGGGCATCCATGTTGGCTTGAAGCATGCATCTCCTGCTGCACAGGAAAGGGCTGGTCTAGAGCTCTGTGCGGTGGCTGGGCTGTTCCTCACTGTCTCACCCTGTGACACCTCTGGTGTGTTTGACACAGCAAGAAGGCACTCACCAGAAACCAAGAGGATGGTGCCTCTCTGACTTCCCAGCCTTCTGAACCATGAGCCCCATAAACTTCTATTCATGTAAACTACCTAGTCCTGGTAGTTTGTACCAGATGGCCCCACGGTGGGCATCAGGCCCTCCCACTCAGCCTTACAGAAAGGCGTGCTCTTGGCCTGGCATGAAGGGAGCAAGTTCTGTGCAGCAGCAACCTTCCCTATATGTTTCCTAACACCACTGCTGGTTCCTCCCGGTCCTCCTATCAGGAGGGTAACTGGTATCTGGCGCCCACCACCCCAGGAGTCTACAGAGGGGACACAGAGCAGAGTTCCACATAAAACCATGCTTAAAGAGGCTCCAAATTATTTTTTTACAGGGGGGCTGGGTACTGGGCCTGGAATCCAGGCCTCACACATGCTCTGCCAGAGCTACATTCCAGCTGTTTTTGGAGACAGAGTCTCCATTCTGAGGCTGGCCTCACACTTGTGATTTCCCATGTAGCCAGGATTATAGGCATGAGCCACTGTGCCTGGCCGTCACAGCCTTTAAGCAGCATTTTCCCTGCCAAGGTCCCTCTCCCTCCACTGAGGCTCTGCACCGATGGAAGAAAAGATGCCCAAGAGAAACGGAGCTGCGTGTGAATCCAAAGGCCAGCAACTGTTATCCACAAGGCACCTTCTTAATGCCCAGTCACTTGAATGTGTGTTCAGCAGCCCCCTGTGCTCACAGCAGGTAGAAGAATGAGAAGGGAGCCAAGGTGGGCAATCATTCAATACAATGTCTACAGCGGTGATCCTTAATACGGGATGGGAACAGGAGTTAGCAGAGGCCTGAGTTCCCCCTGCCCTGAACTTGAGGACTGTGACCGTATCACCACTCCTGGGCCCTCTGTGCTCTCTGCCATGGAAACAGATGAGCTGGACTAGCAGGAGGTCTGCACATCTCTTTCCATGGCTCATATCTGTGAGCAGACTAGGATGGTCTTTTTATGTCATTCTCTCAATTGCTATGAGAGTGCCCCGGGTCTCCCCTCTCTGTCACTATCAGAGTTTTTGTTGAAAAACAAAACAATTTCTAAGAAAATGTCCTGCTATCACAAATCTTTTTTTGTTTTTGTACCAGGAAAGGGTGGGGACACTGGAGCTTTGTCTTTGCCTCCTGCCAGCACCTGTAGCTCCCTCTGAACAGTGTGCAGCCAGGCAGGTCTGACGTCTGTTTGCCAACATTACGTAGCCATATGAGGCTCAGCAGCCCTATTTTACTGCCCCTTGTGTTGAGATGCTGGTTTTCCAGTGCTTTTCTGGGAAACTCCCAGGACACACCAGCCCCTGCAGCCCCCTAATGGGAAGCAGGCACCTGAGTCTCTGGCAAGAAATTGGCCAGGACTCTCCCAGGGAATTACTCCATGTTAAGTCAAAAAGGGCCCCTGTGGGCTGTGGGTGCAGCTCACGGGTACAGTGCTTGCCTAGCACGTACAAAGCCCTGTGTTCCACTCCTAGAACCACAAAAAAGTGGGGAGGAGCTGTCATCCCTACACGTGGGACCTGGCACTGTCCTCTTCCAGGGGTGCTCTAAGCCGGGCCTTCCCCAGTGAAGAGGTGGTAACTTCACCCACTACTGGCCCGCAGGATGACACCCTAGATCCATGTGGGCATCTGGAAGGCACAGCCACAGATGGAAACCAAACCAAGACCAAGATCTCGGCCACCTGGGAAGGAAATGCAGGGAGCGGAAACTCTAGCCAGGCCCAGAACTCCCCCATGTCCACCACACCCTCCACACCACAGCTGGGTCCTTACCAAAGGCTTTGGCGACATCTCCTGGACACGTGCAGCCTCCGTCCTTCAAAGAGCAAGGAGAGGATGTCAGGTGGGGAGGTCAGCCAGGCCGTCCTCTCCTGGGGTGACTCGGGGACTGGGAGTTCGTACCTCCTGGCCCACAGCCCAAGGACAAGTTTGCTGGTCTAGTTTGCTCCCCCAGATATTCCACCCCATGTCCCCCAATTCCCAGCCAGTGTCCTCTGTGGGTCGGGGCCTGGTACCTGCTCCCCGGGAGGAGGAAGCAGGAGTGCTGAGCTGCAGCAGGCCTGGCTCCTTCTCTGCCAGCCCCTGACACAACAGCCCAGCCTTGACCGGCCACGGTCCATCTCCCTCGGGGGGGGGTCACCTTTCCCTGACAACACAGGTCTCAGCTTTCTAGCTATTTGGCAGATTGGCCATTCCAGCAGCTAGGACTCCAGCCCTGCTTCCTACTTCCTTGCACGTCTGATCAAGAGAGAGGCATGGAGACTTCTTTCCCTGTAGGAACATTTCCTGACTGCAATCATTTCCTCCATCAAGTGTGTTGTTCTGCATGGCTTCCCCATCCCCCAGAGGGCCACAGGTCACAGGCCTGATGTCAAGGCAGGCTCTGCATCGTGGGTATGTGGCCCGAGCCCTCACGTGAGGACCAAAACAGGCCAGGGGCTCCAGGCACCCTATTACTGCTGCCAGTGCCAGCAGGTTTGCTTATATTCTCACACCAGGTACAACCTCTGCACGCCCCTCCTCCTGTGCCCCATTGATTAATTTTCAAGGGCTTCATCACTATCAAAGCCAGCACTACTCAAGAGGCTTCCAACCCATAACTGTAATTCAATAAACAATTACTTCTAATTAAAATAGGACCCTACCAAACTGACCCAAAAATAAAACGCTTTTGCTTGCTTGTAGATGTGCAAGGGTGTCTCCTACGGGCTCCTGAAAATCCCCCAAGGCTGTGGTCTGTGACAAGGCCAGCCTGCACGCCCTGTGTTCCTGGGACCACAAGAAAACAAGCCCTTTTCTTCCCTGGATGAGCCTACAAGTCCAGTTAACATGACCTCAATACATGCCACAGAGAGGAAGCCATCGCTTCTGTGTGTATTTATGAAACAGACACAGTGAAGCTGAGAAGCCCAACTGCACATTTAAATAAGTGAGATCTACAATGCCATAAGATAAGCTTGCGCCCTTCTAGCATGTACATAATTTCCATATGCTGCTCAAGGCAACCTCTCATGTTCACAGGAGGCAGCAGAAGGGCACCAGCCTGCAAGCTGAGATGCATTTCCCCCACGCAGAAGAAACTCACAGCTACTGGAAGGTTGTTCAGAGAAGAACAATTTGGCATGTATTTTGTCCCCATACAAATGTTCAAACCAGTAAATTTACAAGAGTTACTTGCTTTGTTAATAGGAAACTAACATGATCTTTCCGGGAGAAACAGTATCACAGGACACGAGAGGTGGTCTGATTTGTGAATTCTCTGTATGTCTGTTCTGCTTAAAAACATTTGCTCGCGCCTAACCCAGAGGCTGGGAAGGAACCTGGGGCAGACGGAGAATGGAGTCGAAATCAAGCACCTCAAACGCACCAGAAACTATTACAAACTTAAAAAGTCATCTTTCCATTCAGACACAAGAATCAGAAGTTGATAAGTTGTAAGTGGGAGGAAAAATGAAACTCAGAAAGGCCAATTTTCCCAGGGTGACACAGCTATAAAAATAGAAAAGACTAGAATTAGTTAAGATTTTTTTTTCCTTTGCAGTACTGGAGTATTGAATCTAGGGCCTTCACATTAAACTATACATCCTTACCCTCATTTTAATTTTGAGACAGAGTCTTGTTAAATTGCCATGCTGCCCTGGCTTGAAATCAAACCTTTGATCCTCCTGCCTCAGTTTCCCAAAATGCTAGGATCACAGATGTGTGCCACCACGCCCAGTTTAAGATGCCTGCATTTCTGATAATGCTTGTTTCCTTTAAAAAGTGTATTTGGTTTTTCCCAGGTTAAGCTTATTGTATTGACTTCAAACATAAGATTAAATTACAGCATTTAATGAATTTGGTTAGGTCTAAGTAACAGCATAACAAGAGAAAATTAACCGCTCACACCTTGGTCTCCGTCCACAGAGAGGCTCTCTGCCTTCCTGAATGAAGCCCACCGAGGCCGCAATAAGTAGAAACAGGAGGCAAGGCCAGCTGCGGATCATGAGGCCCTGTCCTGGGGGGGCAACAGCACAGATGTGCTAGGCCAGTGGCCTAAGTGTGAAATGAGACAGCTAGAAGGAAACTGGACAACGTTACGGGCTCCCACACATCTGAAGGCTCAGAACTTGGCAAGTGGGAGAGCCTGGCTGGGAAACTTAACAAAGTGACAGTGGGGGCCATGGCCCCAGCCAGGCAGCATAGCTGGTTGGCAGGAGTGAGCCGAAGAGCAGGATCCTATCCCCAGGTAAGCCTTCGGATTTCTTCTGGCTACAAACTGAATTCCTAACCCCCTGTGGGAAATCTCCCACCGCTCACAGAACCCCGCGGCACACAGCGAGGCTCCTAAGAACCAGGCATAGTAGGCCTGGGCTGTCACCGCCCCCGACGCTCACAGGCAGGTAAGCTGCTCACCTCGGGTGAGATGAGCCAGGGAGGCCGAGCTTCCTCTGTATGGGCCAAACTGGAGGGTGCCTGGGAGTGACCAGGAGGGCTTGGGAAGCCAGGCTCCTGGGCCTCGCCTTCGGAGTTTCCGACCTGTACGCCAGGTCTGGGGTGGCACTCAATTTCTAACAAGTTCCCAGCTGACACTGCTGCCGGTGTCTGGGCCCCACACTTAGAAGACAACAGCAAAATTAGCTGTGCATTAGGTGATGCTACGCAGAGAGACCTTAACCAACTACCCCGCCCTGCCCGATAGTTCTATCTACTGAGCAAGGTGGGAGTTTCCAGAAAGACTTAAGGATGTCTCAAAGTAAGCCCCGGGAAAAACTATCAGTCTGACTTCTTCCCCCTCGGAAACAGTGATCATATATGATACAGGGTCCCAATTTTGATTAAGACTCTTGATGAAAATGATCAGGTGATGGTGACGTGTAACTAATTACACAGAAGCTTCTGGGAGTCTGGCTCACCATGACAGGCTCCAGGGATGTCTGCAAAGCAAGCTCCCCTGGTGAGTCTCAGGCAGCCAGCCTAAAACACGGCTGCAGAAGCCTTCAAGAACTGCTAGCAGCCTGCAGCAGGGGGCTGCTTGGTGGCTTTGGTGAGATAACACTTAGCAAATGTAAAGCGATAATTCTGCATCAGCCTTTTAGGTACTAGCGTTGATAAAGAGATATTAATCTGTTCACTGGGGCAAGAGATAGAGACTGTCAAGTAGTAGGTCTTAGAACTGTCATTAACCAATGAACTCTGGCCACTTATTTTAGCTTCCAGCACATAGTAGATGCTCAATAAATACTTGCTGAATGAATGGATGGGTGGATGAAACAATTAGATGAAGAAGTAGAAGGCACAGGGGCCATCTGCTCTGCACTGTGCGTAGAGGACCTGGACCCAGCTTGGGTTCCGAGTCATGTGACATGAGGCAGAGCCTGCAGGTTCAAATGCTACAGGAGCTCAAGTGGGACTCTATACATGTGGGTTTTGAAATAATATGATGATACTGTAAGAGCAAGCCAAGAAATCAGACTTCAATAAGCAGTAAAATCACAAGGTGTCCTTCGACAGAGATACATACTTTCTCAAATTTTGGTTTTTAAAAACATTACCTATAGGCACTTTCATTTGGAAGCTCAGCCTAACAAATGCATAAGTGTAAAGATTTGAAGATTTAATCTATTAAACACAAGAACCACTAAAACTATCCCACCACTACAGATCTGTAAATATATGCCTGCAAATACACACAACTACATAAACATATGTGTATTTATCTGTCAGTTTTACTGATGGATTTAACCAAGCATAAATCAAAAACATCTGAGTAAAGAAAAATGTGCATCTGTAGTGAACATATACAGATTTGTTTCTTGCCATTATTGCCTAACCTGGTTTCCACAAGGGGGCCTGTGACCAGCCCAAGATACCAAGGGATGACTTGCACTTCTATTTCTAGATAAAATATCCACCTAGGGGAAGCCACGGTTCTAGCTATCATGGGCTGTCAGAGCTGACCTTCTCCTGTGCTTGGCATCTCACTTCGGGATAACCATCTGCCACAGTTTGAATGGTGGTCCTGTGGATAAAGCCGGAGAGTGGAGAAGAGACTGGAACTTCGCATTCATTTGTTCAGTCCTTAAGAACATGCAGCAGCTGGTGACCTGGCATCAGCCCACCAGGAGCTCTGAGGGATGCTGTGTGCCTGTGACCACTCCCTCCTTCCCACACACGCTCTGAACTGGCCCTTGGTTACTGCGAGCCACTGGCAGCATCTCCACAGCAGCTCCCTCCCTCCTGCTGTGGCTCCTTTCCCCCAGCCTCCCGAGTTCTAGCCCTGGCCTCCAAGTCCTCAGTCTGTCTATTTGGGCCTGGATCCTCTGCATCACCTCAGGGCCCCCCGCACCTCCACATCCTCCTGCCCTCATCCACCCCCCAGGCTCCCATGAGTGCTGGGCTGTTAAGCTCAAAGTCTCCAGCCATGAACCCAATGCCCCCTAGATCTCCCCTCTGGTGGCCCCAGCATCCAGAAACCACATGTCCTGCTGTCCCCGCCTTCTGAACAGTCCCGTCACCTCCCACCCCTGCCTGGATCACACATCAGCTCCCTTCTCAGCCTGCCCCTTCCCAGCACTTTGTAAGGCAGCCAGCTCGAAGTTTCCAAAGACTAGAGGAGATGGTCGCAGTCCTCAGTGTGGCCCCCACGGTCCCTGTCCGCACCTGCCCGGAGCTGTCATCCCTGATTCCCCCACCCCACGGACACCCTGCCCTCCTCACTGCCAACACCATGGCTTTGGGGTCCCCGGCATCTCATTCTCTCGTTTCCCCAGTGCTTTTCAGTTCCTTTCTCGCCCGCCATTTGGAGCACTCTATCAGGCCTCTCTGTCGCCCAAATCTGGGATTTTGTGGCCTACATTCACTTGTCACTGCCTGCTCCCTCAGAACACAGGATCTTACTGCAAACAGGATCCTGTAGGTGTAATGAGTTAAGCCAGGACATCCTGGAGCCGGGTGGCCCTAAACCAACAGTACCAGGGTACTTACAAAAAGGAAAAGGACTGGACAGAGAGGCACACACACAGGGCGCATGGTGGGGACCAAAGGGAGGCCCCCAGCCCAGGAACTGGCAGGTGGAGAAGAGGCCTCTGTCAGACAACAGCGTGAATGCCCATGGAGCTTACCATCCAGCAGAGAAAACAGCCTAGACTTTAGGCACCAGCATCTAAAGCTACAAGGTGCTGAAACTGTGCTGTGTAAGTCCGTGGTGCTTTGTGCTGACAGCCTCGGCAAAGCACCAGCTGGCCCGTGTTCTCAAGGCCATCTGTAAACTCCTGAAAGCACAGTGCACCACCTCTCCACCTGCAAGCATGCCGAAGAGGAGCCTGGGAGCAGGGCGCCTCCCAGCCAGGCCTCCAGGCCCCCTCCCGCCCTCCCACGAAGGGTCCCTGTGCCCTGTGCCACTCACAGAGATGATGTGCCCCTTGAGACCGTGGGCGGAGTCTGCACACTCGATCACTGCGCTCAGCTGGGGGTAGCCCACCCCGGTCTTGGTGCGGGTGGTGCACACGGAACCTACAGAGGAAGGGAGACCCCAAAGAGACATCAGACGCGAGCAGAATGACATAACATAAGCCTACACCTTCCTTTCATGTGGCTCCCCGCCAGTGACAGCGGTGAACCTTCCAGGGCAGAGGACATGTCATGTGCATGGGCTCCCACTGCTGGCCACCAGCACCGTCTGCAGTACCATCCTCCACTGCCGTCCCGGAGTCGCTTTTCCCTCTCCCATCACGCCCATCTCTGTCACTCTCCCCCGTGGCACAGGCTCCCCACTGAAGTATTCAAACTCCCTTTCCTTCCCTGTGCCCTTGGTCTCCTACCACCCTCCCAGGGTCCTCCTGCAGCTGCTTGGGTCTTCTGGGCTTTCAGCGTTTCTCAAATGATAAACTCTCCAAGCCTCGCCACCTCCTGACCAGTGAAACCCCAAATCAGGTGCCTCACAGAGGTCAAAAGGCCTTACAGGGCCTGGCCCCCAGGAAGCCCCAGCAAGGAAGAGGCACGCTGGATACCCACACCCTCACGCTTGCTCAACTGTCCTCAACATGAAGGGCCGCTTGTCCTTCTCAGTCCTGTAGCCTACCTCCCTGTGGTCTGCTCTGAGTCCCCATTCACCCCAAACCCTGAGGTCAGCACCCAGAATCTTGGACTCCCTCCTTTCCAGTCAAACCCTGCCCTGGCTGGATCCGCCCATGGGGAGCAGAGGCTCTCTCACCACATGTCCCCCACTCCCCTTCAAAGCTGCCACTGCCTCCAGGAAGCAGGCACCTCCTACCTACCAAATCAGTGAGATCAAGCACCACCTGCGACCCTCCTCTCTCACTTCTCTTCTCTGTGCTGCTGACCAATGACTTCAGTCCCTCCAAAGGGGCAGATGGCTCCCCACTTAGGTGTTCTCTCTCTAAACACTCTGGCCTCTGTACCAACCCCCCACCGCCAGCCAATCCTTCCTCATCTTTCAAGCTTTGTCTTCACTGCCCCAGGGAAATGTATTTCTTTCCAGCAGAAGCACTTACATAATATTTGTGTAAGAAGGCCAGGGCTGTTTGCTCTGCTGGATGGTAAGCTCCATAGACGTTCACACTGTCGTCTAACAGAGGGGAGAAGAGAGCCCAGGGCCTAATAAGGCCTCTACATTCACTTGAAGAATGTGCGGCCTCAAGAATGAATGAGTCACCCACATCCCACATCCAGGCCGTGTCCCCGGCTCTGCCACTGGTTCAGCTCCTCCTGGATGTACCGTGTCCATTATGGGTGCTCTGGAGCCAGGCTAAAGGCAGACTGGCCTTATTTGGAACTCTTGTTCCCAATGTTATTAATGCCCTGAGTGGTAACACAGAAACCATTCTAAAACACAGAGTTGAAAGTCTCCCTGTATATTAAAAGCTTGGGTATTTCATGAGCATTTAGGGCTAGTCTTCCTAATGTTCTTTTCATATACTTCCTATTCCCCCAAGAACGACAGCTCGGCTAAGTCACAACCCAAAGAGATCCTTGGCCCCAGCAGCATTTTCCCTCCCACAGACTCCACTCATTGCTTTACAGGCCGCTTCCTTTTTTGATTGTGTCTTTTGGCTGAGAAGTATTTTTTAAAATTGTTTGTTGTGTTTTAGTCCCAACTGAAAACGTGCATCTTCTTTCCTTCTCTGGTAGTGTCTTGGTTAATAATGGATGCACAAGGCGAATTTTAAAACACGACAGTGATGTCAACCACAAGTATGGCAGAAAGGAAAGGTGAGCACCAGCTGACCCCAGAGAAACGGTCCCACCCAGTGTAAAATCAGAAGGGCTCCACCTCATTCCTTCAGAGATGAGCCTAGGAGAGAAAGTTTGAGATGGGCAAAATCCTGACTGAGAGGTCCAGGTGAGGAGCCAACAGCAATAACTTCCAGGTTCAAACATGGCCTCCTAGTCACAAGCCTTTTTTTTCAATGTTTTGGATCCTTCGAACATTTACATAAATTTGAGCCATTCTTGTCCATTAGCCGTCCTCGTGGATTCATTACCCTTCACCTTGCTCTTCAAGGTATATGGACCATTAATATTATCTGCATTCTTTTCTTCTACATTTGTGTTTTGAAATCAAGATCTCATATTCCAAACCACCAAAAAGCACATTTAGAAGGTGCCTGGGGACATGAGGAAGTAGCTGAATGACATCTCTTTCTCAGGAGCTTTGTCTGGAAGCTCAATGATGCTCCCAGGGGAAAAAAAAAAAAAAATGAGTCATTCTTGCCTTCCTTCAGCCACTGCCAGTGTCACAAGTCCTAGGTCCCACTCCTCCCCACAACAGGTCTTACCTGGTCCCACTCCCACTTTGATGATATCTGCTCCAGAAAGAATAAGCTCTTCCACCATCTCTCCTGTTACCACATTCCCTGCCTGGAAAAAAAACAATACAGCTCATGATTGGGGACAACTCCTGGGAGTCCGAAGGTGAAGGAGGACTCAAGGATGTGTATGTCTCAAAGCCACCAGGCCACCAGGGGACAGAACGAAAAAAGATAACACTGGACTCGATTCCTGCAGTCTATTTAAGTCTAAAGATGGTGGACCCAACTGCTCCCCTGACTTCCCTCCCTACCGAAGAAAACCTAGAATGAGACACCTGCAGACCACTTTTGGGAAAACTGCCTGTGTGAGCTGATGGCACGGAAAGGCACAAAATTAGGTAATTTTAGAAGGAGAAGAGATTGAGGAGGGTCTAGGTATGAGCTTTGTCCACATCTCAGCAACTGACCAAACAAAATCTTCCAGAGCAATGAAACATACTCAACTGATCAAAATCCTTACTGTTGGCATAAAAGGCTTCAGTTTGAAAGACCCCTAAGGAATCTTTACAGAACACCAGAGCCAGCATCAGAAAACTACTGATTATCTCACAGAGGAGACCACTAGGGCAGTTAGGCCCCAGGGACCACAAGCCACGGGCTCATTCTCCACTTACAGAACAGGAAGCGTGGGCACGGAGAAGAAACACAGAAAGCCAGGAAGTGGCAGAATCCTTCAACCAGAAGAATGCATCTGGTTTGGAAATAGTACAAGTTCTTTCACTGCAGGAATCTAGGAGCGCAAAAATAGCCCTTTTTATTACAACTCGCTGCCCCGTGGATTCTTCAGCTGGTGCATAGGGTGCCTGGCAAGGTGCCCTGTCTGAGTTCCTACAGCCATGCAAAGTCATATTCTGCAAAATGCATTCTATTTACAAGGAAGCCCAAGCGTCTTTTCACTGAACTGACTCCCAGAGAAGAGTTTTCTTTTTTAACTTAGACAAAGTGACTTCAACTTCACAGTAAAGGCTGCTGGAAAGGGTGATGAGGCAGGCAAAGCTACTATAATGCAAATCCCACCTGACAATGGACCAATGGCAGAAGGCCCAGAAAGCGGATTAGAGGTGGCTTAAAGTTCAAATTCAGAGGAAAACCTTCAATACTTGCATAAATACTTTCATAAAAGTGAAAAAACAAAGATGGAGCTGTCTATGTAAAAATGAAACACACACACAAACACACATGCTCACGCAATCAACAAATACCCCGGAGAGAAAAATGTGTACAATGGAACAAAGAGTTACTAACCTTCACTTAATAAAAACTATTAGAAATTCTTAACACACTAACACCTCATGAAATAAATACCAAAGGACATGATCAAACTAATAAAAGTGGCTAAAAAGAGGGAAAGTGTTTACCCTCACTAAGAATCAAAATGAAGATACTGGTGTGGTGCTACTTTTCATTTAACAAATTACTACCTCGGTAAACACTAAATGCTAGAGAAAAACATCAGACTCTCCACCAGTGTGATGTCTATCTTAGGACAAGTTTTCCTAGAAAGCAATTTGTCCATACAGAAGAAATGCAAAAATATCCTTTGATCCAACAATTCTAAGATTCCCAAGGAAATCATTATAAATGAGGTTAGATTTAACTATAAAGATGTATCATTTGTTTCAGTACAAAATTGTAAATATATTCCCAAAATAGGAATGGTTCAACAACTTTAAAAATCATGGGGTGTTTGTGCGTTGTGTGTGTTGCCAAAGATAGAAGGGATAGCCTCGCACAAAGTAAGTTCTGTACCACTGAGTTACAACCTGCCCTGTGTAATATTTTTTGGAGAAGCTTAATGGTGAGGGGGATGCTTAAATACTTTCAGTATAATGCTGGGAAAGTAATAAGATCTCAATCTTGAGGGGGGGGAGAAAGGGAGAGAGGAGG